TCGACTTCTGTCGTTCCACAACTGAGCGTTTTTTAAGGTAGTGTTAGCCACGCACCACCACTATGTGGAACCAGCTGCCCACTGAAGTATTGCCGAACCAATTCGACTTAGATTCCTTCAAGAAAAGAGCGTACCAAAAGGCCGGCAATGCACTCGCGAACCCTCTGGCACTGAGAGTGTCTGAGTCATTGGAAGTATCACTTAACATCCAATGAGGATATGTACGATTTTAAAGTTAAATCAGTTATGGCTTTAATTGTATGACTTACAGTCATATTTTTATACATGTACTTCAAAGACAAATCATTTATTTCAATTAGGTATATTAAAAAGACACATTTGAAAGTCAACATTACAAGTTAGAAATTTTAAAATAAATCCTAGTCCAAAAGGTAGTTTCATAATATGGAGAAGAATGGGAAAGAAACTACATACTTACTCTTTTAAAATAGTTTTTACAACTTTGTATACATTGATTTGATAATTATATGTGAAGACCATGTGCCTAGAACTAGAATTAAAAAAAGCCTTAAAGTCTAAAAAACGCTTCAAACCTAATTCAGTTGAATTGCTAGTCCGCTGTGTTTCACAGATTAAACACAATTTGACAGAAACAGTACTATCAACGAACTTTAAGCGCCAGTACATCGATCCTGATCCCGACAGCGAATAACATATTTCGGCCATACAATGCGCAGAGGCGATGAGAACTTGGAGTAACTGGTGGTTGGTAACACAGAAAGCAAATCACGTGGCCGTACACCAACCAGGAGACCGATCAAGTGAAAGACTCATCGCCCAACTATACAGTGTTTGTACGAGCCAAGGCTGTACATTTTGCTCACTCAGGCTTTCTTAATTTTATAAGCGTGGCGAGTTACGCCCCGAGAGTATAGCCAGGCACAGGCACTGTCTTCACCTGTTTAGCCTTGACTCGTTATAAGAGAAGCGCTGGACAGAAACCAGTGGAAACAGATTTTCCGTGACGTTTCCTTGCTTTTAGTTTGCGTAAGAATAATCCAAAAACAAATGAAAATCGGACCCTTAAAATTTGGTGATCAGTTTCTTAAAAGGATTTTAATGCCAATGTTTCTACACGGTTGCCTAGCAACCATCACATTGATCTAACCTAAAACAAGGTTAATGTTTTGTGCCAAAAATCGTGACTATGATTTCTTGAACTTTCTATTAGAGCCAATTATCATGAATACTATGTTGAGTTTGTCAAATGCTTTTACTGCTGAATGTATACGAATAATCCTTATAAATAAATAGTTTATTTGCAAATTGCACATTGATTAATTATATATAAAACCGCACATTAAGCCATATAAAATAGGGACAAAATTATAATAATGTCATAATAATAAGAACAGTTAAGGTATTTATAATTGTTGTCAAAACGTATGGTCTTAATACTCTCCCACGCTATAAAGGCACATAGCATTTAAAAATTATAATTAAAAGTATAATTATAAAATAATTACAAACTACATATAAAAAATATAATTGTGTTTCAAAGTTACACACAAAAATACTTGTACACTAAGTTATCTTTTAATACGATAGCGATTTCGATTTCAATTCTGTATTCGTTTCGTAAGTTTTTATTATCTACACCATATTTTATATTATATCGAAATTGGTTTCATCCTTGTATAACATTTGATATGGAGGTATTAATTCATTAGTAAATTAAATTATTATTCTTAGTATTTTTATGGAAGAAGCAAGGCAGGACACCCACCAGAAGTGGAAAAATGAAATAATAGAAATAGGGAAATATTGGAAAATAGTAGCGAAGATGAGAGACAAATCGAAGAATTTGGAGCCCTTCACTCCTTCGGAGGTCGTGTACTATTAAATATAATAACATAATGTAATCCTTATTATATGATACTTAGCCCGGGAGATAGTGACACAAAATAGTGGGTCATTTGTACCAGTATGGCGGTTCTTCAGGGGTCTTATTACGCATTGAAAAAAAAAATGATGGTCATAGCGCTGGTACCGGCGGCCCAATCGCGTGGGCGTTAGACGAACTCGTCGGATTAATTACGAAAGTCAAACTATTTGTTCCACAATATTTTTTGTGGAACAAATCCTTAAAGGGTTTTTTTTAATTTCTTAGACAAGTATTTACACCAAATTAATCGACTAATTAGATGCCAGTCCAGTACCACATAACCTTCAAGTAGCAATCTACTGGCTATACCTACCTACTAAATCTATTTTAGCATTATACTGAGACAGTAAATGCCGTCGTTAAAACCACTCGATAACTCGTAAGTCACTAATTTGTTAGTTAATGTTGCCTTCAAATTGAAGTGCACGAGAAACTGACCCCGTTCTACACTTTAATGTCTTTAATTATTTCCACGTTTTTGTTCTGTCTCCTTCACTCGAGGAGGTCGGTTATGTATTTCAAACTGCTTTATTAGTCTAGTGTTGGTGAAGAACAGGGACTCTGAGATTCGGATCCCGGTTGAAAAAAAACAGCATTGCTAATTTTGTAAGAAGAATTTCATTACAAACCTTGCGGGCTTTGAACACGTCCATGGTAAAGCTGTCGATCCTGTTCAGCCGTGATGAATATCAGTCCAATCGTGGTATAGTATACAGAATAGAAAGTGCACCTGGGCTTGTGCAATACTTAAGATCTCTTGCATAATTGAAAACTCCTGAAAATTTAATATTTTCGATACATTTTTTAATACATTATCTCTTTACTGAGACATGGATCTAGCTTAACTTAAGACTAATAAGTAATTTAAAACTAACCTAACTAACTCATTTACTAATAAGGATATTTAACTTAAGAAAGTGTCCAATAACACTACTTAAAGTCTCTAATAAATGGGAGGCACTCTGTTCTTGTGTATTGTTTTTATTACCACTGTTTATGATTCCTTATGATAATAAAAACTTAAAGCAAATATAAATGCTTCCATATTTCTTTTTAGTCCCTCTGCAAGCTTTTTCCCTTTGCCGTTGTCCTGTCCTGCCTTTACTTGCTCCAACCAGAAAGAAGTGATAACTCTACTATACATCACTTTTTTTTAGAAGCTGTGTCATTTCTAATACTTGTTAAAATAAGGTTTAAATTAAATATATTTATCGTAACCTTAAATTAACAGTTAACATATAATTGAACAAACCAGGATTTAAACCTTCCAAACCCAAGCAACATGTTATACATGGAACACAATCCATGACAAATTTACCAACTGCCCCCGCGAACTTTATTTCGCCTTAATATGATTTTTATACTTTTTTTGTACCAACCAGGCTCCAGAAGATAAAACAAAGCTCTCGTTATATGTAAATTAATCAATAAAGGTTTTTATAAATTTGACGAATATCTAAATGATCCTAATCCTTGCGATTGATTTGCTCCACATCAAACAATTTGTATGACTCGAAACTTAGCGATTAAAGAGAGTGGCGGAGATTTTCTTGCCAGTTCTTCTTGCCCGCTCTACGCCCTTGACTTGCTAACTGGTAGTAAATGTAAATTTTGAATCAATTTAACATCTTTTCTGTTGACGTTCATAAGTGTACTTGTTTACCTATATAAATAAAATTATTTTGAGTTTGAGTAACATTTTAATTAGTAACCATAACAATCAAATATACGGTATTTACAATTTCCTTAACCTACACAGTAATAATAATAACTAAAAATTAATAAAAGAAAATTAAAACAAATTTAAAAAATGTGAGCCGTCACGGGACGCCTGGCAGATGTGAAACATCGACATTATTTTGTAAAAGTAATATGAAAAGCAGAAAAGAACAGATTGTGATAGGAACTAAATATGTCATAATGATAAAATAAAATATTACGATTTTTTTTCCAGATAACGATGACTATTTATTGAATAAACATTTATTTTCATTAAATACAAAAATTTACGAATTTATTTCAAATCGTGACTCCTTAATTCGTTTAATCAGTGACTTCGAAATACACACACCGTACACATTACTGCATATAGATTGTATATATATTATATATACCATCATAAAGTGTGGCGACGCGTCGCCGCGGCTTGCGTCGCCACACTATATAATGTCCACGCCAGGAGTCGGTTTTACGTGCGGCTATAGATGTTTCACATCAAAAGTTTGGTCCCTTTGGCAGCGTACCTTTAACGCTGGTAGCTGTATAGCGATACTACATACCAACATATGGAACCTGTTGCTATAGAGACTGTTCGCTTTTCCGGAATATAAACTGGTTTTTAGGTTTATCCGTGCAATTATTAACTGCATAAAAACCTACACAAAAACTGCATAAAACAGAGTTCAACGAAAAAATCAAACTCGTATTGGTCCAATCGTTTTCAAGTTTTGCGATTCGTTTTTATTAGATTACCTAATTACGTCATGAGCAGAAGTGTTGACCTAGTGGTTTCAGCATGCGACTCTCATCCTTGAGGTCGTAGGGTCCATCCCCAAGTATACACCAATGGACTTCCTATAAGCGCATTTAACATTCGCTCGAACGGAGAAGGAAAACGTCGTGAGGAAACCGGCATGTCTTAGACCCAAAAAGTCGATGGCGTGTGTCAAGCACAGGATGATCACCTACTTGCCTATAAGATTGACAAATGATCATGAAACAGATACAGAAATCGAAGGCTTTTTCATTTAATTACGTCATGAACTACATTATAATTGCTAACTGTTTTTCGCATCACAATGTAAGGTAAACATGTTGTGCAAAGCGGAATTTTATAGATGACTCAGTTATGTATCACGACTGTCACGATTTATGTCGAAATACTTTTTGCATGTGAAAAATGTAACGACTTAAAGTGCTAGATTTTATTTATATTAATTTTTGAAGTGAAAATTCTTTAGGCGCATGAGGGTAAATTTTTTACGGATACGTCACGAAGATGTGCAGCGTTTTTGTCGAAGAAAAGGGAGAGACTATAATATGATTTACTTACAAAACTTATAAGCTGTTATTTCAATAAAACAATTCTTTCCAGGATTACACTCGGATCTATCAATATCCTCACTGGATGGTGATGAAGGGGAGACCTTAAGACGTGGAGCCTTGTCAGCCGCATGCGCAGATGCAGTTGCAGCTTACGCAACCTTAGAGGGCAGCAGAGTACGTGATTCCATTGCGGCGCATGCGCGACGTTCTATGGAGAGAGAGAGACAGATTGACGAGAAGAACGAGTTAATCGCTGATTTGTCATCTAAGGTAAGGAATACTTATTAGAATAACATGATATTTGATATATCAATGTATCAAACCACAGGCTATATATAGTACGCTTATTTGATACATACACAGACCATGCTTAGTAGTGGTCAATTGGACGGCACAAATCCATATCACAAAACGAAAAATATGTCATAAGACTGCCAAAATATCTACTGTTCCTGTGCACCACCTCTTCATACTAAATTAATTCAAATCAGAAGTTATTAACAAAGTTACCCAATGTGGAAGTGATAGTTTTACGTTATTAAAAGTTTTCCTTCCATTAATAAGTAGTACACATATTTATGTATGTATACAAAAATAGTGATAAGTTTACTAGATTAGAACATACGCACAATGTTAATACACGGAACAAACGCAGGCTGCAATTTCCCCGTACTAGACTATCTAAAGTTAGTAATTCTTTTTTGGGGAAAGGGATACTCTTCTTTAATAAAATCCCAGAGGCTCTTTTATCACTGCCTTTCAATAAATTTAGGAAATGTATTAAAGAAAAGCTGTGTAAAAAGGCTTACTATAAAGTCAACGATTATCTAGTTGATAAAAGGGCCTGGGACTAGTGCTAGACAGGCTACTTCTAATTAATTTGCGATATTTGTTTTAAATAAGTGTTGTTTGATGATTTGCTGTTTTAAAAGAGTACCGAGAGTTTTTTACACCGGCTTTTTCTCTCGGCCTACACCCTCTGTCTTCTTTGCCGATGAGTAGGGATGCCTTCAAATTTAATGACGTGGAATAAGTGATACATGTATCTTATGTTCCATAATAAACATATTTTATTTTTATTCTATTTTTTTATTCATCTGTCTCATATATCATCAGAAACAACAAAACACTTTTAATGACAGCTTAGAAATATCCACCGCTTATGACGCTGTGGAAATTCGATACAACAATAACTTTTTGCGCTTCCGTTTAATCACATACATTGACTTCAAAGGGTTGTTATATAACACATAATTTAATTAAAAACGTAACAACTTTCATATTCAATTAAAAAAATAATTATCTTACTAATGTCAGATTTTAATGCGTGCGATTTAACAGAATGATACTTTGAATTCTAGGTCATTTACTTAATATAAATATATGGTTACCTACAGTATGTTCTTAGTAAGTCCACCTGTACATTATTATAAAGTATTGTACGTTATTGCAGGTAATTGTACTCTATACTTTATGATAACAAACAAAGTACACGAAACAACATTCTGTGATTTTCGTATGATGTGGTTTCTATAGTCTTAGTTTAGTAGATGTATTTTATAATACTTTAGTCGTAAAAGAGCTTCATTCCCGACGAGCAGTTTTGAGAGGCCGGCCCATTCGTGCGTTTAACAAGTCCATAGGATCATGGAGCACATCCTTTCCGGGATGAACAGCTCTCTGAAACCGAGAGCCCCGGGTGCGCTCTTCTTCAACATAGCGACGGCGTTCGACAAGGTCTGACACAACGGCTTGGTTTACAAGCTCTACCACCTTCAAGTGCCACTGAGACTCGTGCGTATGGTACAAGACTTCTTGTCCGACCGCTCCGCTATAGTGAAGAGGGAACGTTATCGTCCCCTCCAACCATCAGGGCCGGAGTACCTCAAGGCTCGATACTCGCGCTCCTCCTTTTCATACTATTCACCGGTGACATCCCTAGAGCTCCCAATGTGGAGCAGCTAAGCCGATTACACCGCTCTCTTTACCACCAAATATAGAGGTGTCATCGTGAATAGACTTCAGACCGCGACCTGGTCGCTAGGCGAATGGTTTCGGAAATGGGGCTTCCAAATAAATCCAAAATTGGATGGCGTACTTCGTATTTCGCTCACTCCAGTGAGCTTCCGTCCTGTCCTACTGGTCATTGACCTCTCTGCGACGGCCCAAGCTGAGGTCCAAGTCTCGCAAGAGACGCCTTTGTCTTAGTCGCGGGAAAACGCCCATTCCCGCCATAGCTTGGCAAAACAGCCCGCGCTGAGCTGTAAAGGCTCTTCTCCAAAAAGTACAGCCAGTGATCGAACCTACGACCTAAGGGATGAGAGCTACCTAAATTTATACCCCAACGTTTTAATGGCACTGTTCTTACTAGATAATTGTTACAATAAACACAACATGATAAAAAACCTGTAATAAGGACAGTGGAAAGGACACGCTGTACGCTTTCAGGATGTATATATCTTTTAAGTTGCGATATCATGGCCTACATGTTCTCAATTGACATTGGGACCTACCATTACCTCAAGACAATATTTAGCTTATTTATATTTAAATTCAATTTAATTTATTTACCGACCGAAAAACGTAGTACCGCTGATTTTTTTATGAAACTCCTGTATGCTGACCAACAAATAAATTAGTTCAATTGTTAATATGACACGGACTCGTGCGCATTTAAATTCTCAATAATTTGAACATTGACGTAAACGACCTACTTCACAATAACTTCCTGTCATATTGACTACATACGACTGGTCAATGGCATCGAACAAAAAAATAACTGTTGCTATTCGACACAACGGGTTTTGAACGGCTTTTGCACGGTACAATTATAAATGGTCCGTAAATGTCCGCTTCAGATTAATTTTCGCCAAAAATACAGTCGATTTTAATTAATGTTAATTCTATGTAGATGCATACTTGAATGTCATTTAAGTATGCATCTATGCAGACCTTTATGGGTAAGGGTCTCATAATTTCTTGGTGACTGATCTTTTATCGCCGTAGAAATGGTTTGGCTCACGATGATTTCCTTCCCCGTTTGCAAATTTTAGGTTTTCTTTAATCTATCTATTGAATTAGTGTTATAAAGAGCAATCTCTATCTACTGAATTAATGAAAAACAATTTTTCCATTTAATTTACAGAATAATACAATCGAAATCATGGTATATTTGAAAACTACTGTGGTTTTTATTAATGTAACAGCCGTCTTGTTAGGAATGCGACAATTGTATATAAAAATAATTCTTTAATTTGTTTTTTTTATGTTGTTTAACGTTAAACTATTATAAAACAATAGTAGTCCATTTATTCCGCGGTAGCAAATACGTCAACGTTTTCTCACCATAGACATTGTGTGCTCGCGAAGTACAGAGCCGAACATGCGTTTCAGCTCGGGTCGGTTCGTCATGCTGAATTCGTTATTTTATGTCAAAATAAGTGTAGTGCGTAATCTATTGGGGCCCAGTTGGCGTTTGAACGCATGTCTCTTGATACACACACTAAACACTAAGCTAATAATTATTTTATTGTATTTATTAAAATCTAATAACTCTTTCAACTTGAGAAAAAATGATACCCATTTAATTTAGCTTTAGCTTTTTTCAACTGGCCTATACGGAATACCATAAACAATTACTCTTCCATTTCATAGATCACTGTACCGATCAAATATAATCACACGCTTTGGCGTTATATCGATTGAAATAAATTGATTTGCGGCAAAAATTTCACGCATAACTTAAGTCTAGAATATATAGTCATAACAGAAAGGAATTAAAGAATTTTGTAGCACTAGAAAATCTACATTTTTATAAAGGGTATAAATTATTAAAAAAACATTTATCACACATCAAATTCGATAAAAAACTTAATAAAAAAGTTGAATATGTGGTCTGGATATTTATTTAAAGAGCTCCCTTGAAAGATATAAGAAAGTTTCACGTTAATCACGAAACGAAGGACAAGACCAAAATCGTTGGAGGGAAATCATTCTCTCCAGTTCCTACTCTACCCTAAACAACAAAGGTGTTGAGAAACATACACAACAGTAATATATATATATATATATATATATATATATATATATATATATATATATATGTCTCACTAAACAGAATAATCTATATTGGCTTATCTACTTTTAAGGATATCCATTATCCACCCACATACAATCCCACGTGTTGCCTTTATGGACGAAACCTCAAAACCTACTAGTGGTCAGTCTTATAGGAAGAGCTTTTTGTAATCTTGAAGGCTATATGACTAACTCACCCATAGGTCAATGCTTTTTGATCTATAAATAATTCTTTAAATTACCATTTAAACCAATTGGTCTAAGTCTAGAGAGCAATTTTTTTCACTGCTTCACTTCTAAATATATACTTTTCTCGTCCAAAGTATAAAATATTCATCATTTTAATTACAGCCACAGATTTCTGTATCTGTTTCATGATCATTTGTCAATCTAATAGGCGAGTAATCAGCCTTCTGTTCCTGACACAAGCTGAATACTTTTTGTGTCTAAGACAAGCCGGTTTTCTTACGATGTTTTCCTTCACCGTTCGAGCGAATTTTAAATGCGCACAGAATGTCCATTGGAGCACAGCCGGGTATCGAACCTACGACTGAAGTCTCTAGCTCAACACTGATGCTAACATTATAGCTTATTTAAAGCTAAAAATGTGATGTTGATTTCCTCAGTTGTAATAAGCGTAAATCCTGGCATTTGAGTCATCGAGTGATTTGTGAAAGTACTCGACCTTCGTGTCCCGAACACTTTGTCAAGGCCCCGCTCTACGTAATAAGTGCTTATGTAAACTAACTTAATAATTTTATACCACTTTATATAAAAAACGAAGACAGGGTCGGTTTTTGTTTAGCAAGCGCCGTTTTGATCGTTTAACTTCACATTTAATAACGCGGCTTTTAGTTGAGACACACTTGGTCCTCCCTTCCATACTTATTTTTTCCGGGGCTCCGAAAGATTCAGAGAATTTCCAGGGACCGAGCTTTTTTATTCATTATAGGGAGGAAAGAATTAATGTATGGGCATTGGGTGAAACCAAATAAATGTAACACATTTTAACGTTATAGAGGGTTTTTCGTTATAGCGAATGGCATTATAAATAGTTTACACTGTATATACCATTCTTATAGCAATACAAATGGGTTTGGTTTTATGCATGAATTACGGTGAAGTGTAAAAGTCGTAACTCATATCATACATAGTTAACAATTCTACATATCTCTTATTCTATATACATATATATAAAATTCTCGTTCCCTTACTCCTCCTAAACGGCTCGACCGATTCTTATGAAATTTTTAATGCATATTCAATAAGTCTAAGAATCGGCTACTATCTATCTTTCAAACCCCTAAGTGATAAGAGGTGTCCACCCCAAAAACATTTATATTTTTAGACAATATTTTAGTTTTTTTAATACAGCATACAAAAATATATTTAAGAAATTATAACTTGAACTCTGAGGTTTATATAGAGAAAAATCACAGAAAAACCTAAAAAGTTTTCATTCCGCAAAACTGAAAAGTCTCTAGGGTAGCATAGCAAAATGTTCCACGTTGGTATTGTTCTAAAATGGTAGGCTAGGCATTAAGCAGAAACGAAGTTCGCGGGGGCAGCTATATATATTTCACGTTGAGGAGGAATCTTTGCAAACAAAACCAGCAAATTTTAATAAGTTTATTTTGACACTCAACTGTGTATATTTTGACAGCTGTCAGTAGCAGAGGTGGAATTACGCGCTGCCGCTGAAGAACGTGACAAACTGCTTAATGACGCAAACTACAGTAGTCTACAAAACGATGAGGCTGTCGCTCGCGCAAGACAAGAGAGGGACGAAGCTATCGAGAGGAAGAAAGCTGTCGAGGTGGGTTTAAATCAAGTTGATTTACTGTTACTGGTAACATGTTTTAATATAACATTAGGAATAGTAGCTAAAATAATAATATATGTACTAATAGCTGTGTAAAAAGGATTACTATAAAGTTAACGATTATCTAGTTGATAAAAGGGCCTGGGACTAGTGCTAGACAGGCTACTTCTAATTAATTTGCGATATTTGTTTTAAAATAAGAATACCAAGAGTGTTTTACGCCGGCCTTTTCTCTCGGCCTACACCCTCTGTCTTCTTTGCCGATGAGTAGGGATGTCTACCCATTCAAGTTTAATGACGTGGAATAAGTGATACCTGTATCTAATATTCCATAGTAAACATATTTCATTTTTTAATATTCACATCCAGTGTTGCTATAATCTTTTATTGGCTTAAGATTTCTATATTAAATTTTTGATCTTTATTCTCTGCAAGTGATCAGCTACTTTACCTTAAACGCCAATATAAACCTATATGTTTATGTGTGTACACAAGTGTCAAACATTACGTTTTTTGACAGGAGTCGTAGTTCGGTCTAAGTCTCGACTTTGACCCTAGGATTCAGTTTTTTCAGTCATCGTAGCTAGAAAAAACCAAAACAAATAAATGGATATTGTTTTATGTGTATGGAATACGAAATCCAAGTTAAATAGTAAGGACTAATTTTCAAACGTAATATTCCAGGTTTCCCTTGCGAAGACCCGCGTGGAGTTGATGCAGGCGAATAGTCAGCTATACGAAGCTGTCCGACAGAAGATTGACCTTGGACAGCAGCTAGAGCAGTGGCAGGTCTGTATTAAGATATTCGTTAGCTATTTTAAACCTTAATTCTTTATTTGCCTCAGTTACCACAAAAAAAATATCACGGTAATTGTAATGTATACTAATATTATGAAGTAATATAGTTGTATTGATGTCTAAACCAAATAACTTTATTTGGTTAAGTTTGTGTTTTTTATGTGCTTGTAAGCTAAACAATAATGTTACACAGAAGGATAAAGACGCAAGGAAGAAGTGGCTTGATATATTTTTCATGTTACCTGGACAAAAGTTCTTAATCTTATTAGGTTTATGTTAGAATATGTGAGAAATATAGTTATACTCTGATTTTTTATTAATTGAACCCACGATTGGATTTGTAAGAATATATGTCTGAGGTTGCCAGTAATTAATTAGGGTGTTTTACAAACCTTGGCATTGTTGTTTGGAATTACAGATGGACATGCAAGAGCTGATAGACGAGCAGATGAAGCACAAGTTGACGTCAGAGAAGCGTCGCAAGATCCCTCAACCCGTGCCTCCCACTCGCACTTCAAGGATCCTGGGCTTCTTCCAGCGGTGATCTGCTATTCTGCTCCTACTGCTGCTTGGGACCTCACACCTGCTTATACATTGACACATCCCGACATCTTTCAGCCACGGAAAAGCGAGATTACTTTAAAAAGTAGCGAAAATTTACTTTAGTTTTTACTTTTTACCTAATAACATCTTTAATTACGGCTTTATTCATAAACAATAAACCTCAAATAAATAATTAATATTTGTTCTTTTTCAATGTCAAAGTAATAATAGTAATAATTGAGGCTTACGTACGTTTCTTAATGTTTGTCGTTATCTGTTTATTACACAATATTGCATTTCTTAAATCTCTCTTGTCTGTGGCGACATCTTACACTTATGACACACTGCGTTGAGCGCTTTCAAATGTGCTGTCATCGCGGCCGCCATCTTGTTGTGGCGTGTTTTGCCGCGTTTTATTTCACGATTTTATCGTTCAAACGATGTGTGTATATTGCAGTGATTAGTGTTTTAGATCATTTATTCACTTATTTGTGTTTTCAGTATAATTTTACCTTTGCACCCTTTATAGCTATAGTGTTCTAAGTTTTAGTTAAATTATGATAACGGACCGGTTAGGAGACGTACGGCCGATATTGTTTTTTCGCTAAAACTGTATTAGTTCAGTACATTCCTAGTTTTGTTAGTATACGAAAACAGATATTATTTAACCTTTTAAAAATGCAATACTTTCATCGTCATAATTACCTACAGCAACATTTATATGGTACAATAATTTAGTTTTATTTGCGACAATTTCTAGAATGTAAATAAAATTATTTCTTATTAAATCAGCCACGTACTGTCGCTAACCCGTCCATTTCATGTAAATAATATAGATAATCATTGCACCTATAGATTAATTTAGATAATAATATAGTTTTAAAACGCCAAACGAACTAGTGTTTTATTGGTCTATCTTAAATATCTCCAAAACCGAAATGTTATACGAAATATATAAAATACTAAATAAAACACTATTCAAAGGCGATTAAATTACATTCAAACCTTTTACTAGCCATATTATTAATAGTTAACGATCTGCTACAATCATTTAAAAAGATATCATCGATTTACGAAATAAAAAAAATGGTGGTCCATAGAGTACTAAAGACCATAGACTATACAAAGATATGGATTAAAGAAATAAATGTACAGCCTACGTGCCTTAATTGTGACAGAATAATACGGAATTGGAATGAAGACGCCTTTTTTGTGCCTTAAAGTTGGGCTTGAACACATTTTGTTCAAAAACAAGAATTTTTGTTTGGTGCCTAAAAAACTACAAAATGTATTTACAATGATTTTACATTGCATTTCGTCTAAGTTTTATCAAATGTGTGACATTGAAATTAATGAAATACTCCTATTTTATTAATTATACGAAGGGTACATTTTAGAGTGCGACACTTCATTTTGAATTGCATAATCTGTATGTGATATTTTGCTCTATTTTTGTAAAACAAAAGTGTAAGTTGGCAAGATTGTATTATTTAATAACTAAATTAGTTTAATTGCACTATTTTAACTAAAAAACTCTTTGTAATGAATATGGACACATAGTACTTTAGTTAAAAAGTGCATTTATACTAATTTGTTTTATAAGATGTATCAATTACATTATGTTTATGATTATGATTACAATGAACATTTTAATTATCCGTTATAGATTCTAATTTTGGCATAAGGGAGCGTTCAAGTATTACGTAACGAATTCTGGAGGGTTGGGGGGGGGCGTCCTTTTGTAAAACGTTACGATGCGGGGCGGGGATTGAATTACGCGTTATTTTTAATATTATTTTCGACTTTCCAGTACTTTACACCACATAATGGTAACTTTTAGGTATAAAGAGTCACTAGGTGGTCACGAAACGTTATACTATACTTGGGTACAGTACTGTACTTACAGAAAAACGTTACGGTGCGTTATATGGGGGGAGGGGGGTGTCAATAATCTCCAAAAATTGCGTGACGTAATACTTGAATGCTCCCTAAGTACTTATGTTACATTCCAAGTACCTAATATTCACCGATAAATGTACTTAATTTAACGTTTATTTTATAATTTATTTTAAGACTGAATGTAACAGGTCTACGTCCGATGCAATAATAATTTATTATCTTTATATTTTAGCACAAATATGTGTTTTGTAATTCGTATCGCAGTCATTCCGCTATTTTAAGGTTTATTTCGCTATTATATTTCACAAAAATCACTTTACAAGGGTATAAGTTCAGTGCGTATACGTGCTTGGCGTGCACCTAACAGTTTTCTTTGTTTTAATTTGTTTCTATTTCTACAGAAGCCTAGGAAATTAGATGTAATAATTTTTTTATTAATTGATATTTTAGTACTGTTTTTGCTCAAATCTTTGACATACTTATTCCTTGAAGAAGTCTCTTTAAATTATTGAAGGTATCTTATTTTACGATATCATAATTTATATTTATTTTTATATTTTACGTGAACTACTTCTATAAATGTAAACAACATAATATTAAAAGTGATTTTTGTGAGACATGCAATTTTTGTTGCCATATATTGGTGATTAAGAGCAAATGCCAAGTGGGATTCATTTACGAAATTCAAAGGAATTTTAGCTGATAAATCTTAAAAGTTTTATTCATACTAACATTCTACTTAAAATATAATAAGTACTTAATATATCTATATCTTAATAATCTACTGTGATTAGTTTTATTTGCAATATTGTATGTATTTCACTGAATAAAGTATGAATTTTAGGCTGTGTGTTTCATTATTTATTTAATCAAATAAGTAATAATTCTATGAAATAACTGTTCCGTCCCGCCGAGTGACATCTCAGCACGTGTTTGAGCACCTAATTATGACACATAGTAGAGGAGCCCAATCGGGGATTTCGGGATTTACTAAAGCGTGGCAAGGTATCCCCCTGTATATTAAAGATTAATATACAGGGGGATACCTTGTAGCCGGTTAAGTACCTCCAACAAATATGAGCCCCATATATATAACTGCCCGTCAAGGATAAAGGATAATACTATTATAAAAAAAAATATCATCAGAAATTCTCGAGGGCATCAGATTAAGGTACGGTGAGTTAATTACGTGCTACAAAAATTATGGTTATTAATAGGTTATCATGTGATAGGTTCCTAAAACAATTTTGGTATACAGGGAATTAAATCCAGGAACGTCCTAGCGAATGACCAACCCACGAAGACCTCCAATGAATTATTTTATGAACATTACCAACTATTATTTGCGAGATCATTCAATTACTTTAGTGTCGTCAATTTTAATGTACACGAAACGTAATTTGAGCATTTCCAATAAAACAGATTATGAAAAAACTAAATTATTCTTAAAATGAAACTTCAGTGACAGATTGAAAAAGAAGACATCTTATTTAAAGTCAGTTTTGCTACGTCAAATATTTACTTGAAACAAATATAAAATTTATTAAAAATGCCAGCACAAGTGGAACAGAAGACTGTGGACCCTGAAGCAGAACTTAGCAATGTCCAAAGAACGGTTATTTTTTTATTTTATCAAACTCTTTCAGTTCTTTATCTCCTCTGTACAAGATAATATCACCCGACGAAATTATAAAGATGATGAAGAAACTATAGAACCGTTCGTTTGAATTAGAGAAACGGACCGGTGACGAAATAATTGTTTCCTGTTGGGAGGCAAGCCTAAAAGTGATTGAGGCCTCTAAAAAAATATCAATAAAATGTGATTGCGTCATGAAAATAATCCTACACTATGTGGTACAGCCCACTGAAGTATTTCCGAACCAATTCGACTTAGGATCCTTCAAGAAAAGAGTGTACCAATTTTTAAAAGACCGGCAACGTACTTGCGAGCCCTTTGGCAATGTGAGTGTCCATGGGCGGTGGTATCACTATAACATCAGGAGAGCCTCCTGTCAGTTTGCCTTCTGTAACATTAAAAACTTACTATCTCGTTATTTACCTTCAGAGTAAGTAAATGATAATATCTGGGTCATCAGGGTGCTTTAAATAATAGAGGATTTTAGTTTTACTCTATATTAACCACTCGCGTACAACAATAGATAATAAGTGAAATAATGAAATGTAAATTGCTAAATAACGAATGAGTGTAATGTAACAGTCGAAGAGAGTGCCTACGTCTGGCTATACTCTCGGGGCGTAACTCCCATGATTCAGTTAATTGCTATGAAACGATTGAATGCAAAGTAACGACACAGCCTTGGCTCGTACAGTAATTGTACATAAAAAGAATTATCAATTTGTACACATCCGTGATTCGATCGCACGACCTCACTGGGAGTTACACATTTTAGCCATTAGGCCAACACCTCTTTATCTGCCTCATACTTGAATAAAACAAAAATAAATCAGTGGCGCTACAACTTTTTTAGGTCTGAGCCTCAGATTTCTGTATCTGTTTCATGATCATTTGTCAATGTAATAGGCAAGTAGGTGATTAGCCTCCTGTGTCTGACACACGCCATCGACTCATTGAGTCTAAGGCGAGCCGGTTTCCTCACGATGTTTTCAATGGAGCTCAAACCTACGACCACAGGGTTGAAACTCGCACGATGAAGTCACTAGGCCAGTTCTCAGCCTCAACTGGATTATTACGGCAAATATATAATATATATACTTAAAAATATTACATGTCATTCAGTTCCAAAAATTGGCGCCAATGTGCAGCGTGGAGAAGCGAGCTGGTGGTATTCCCCAGCTGGCGCCACAGGAGAAGCAGCTCGGCATCCTCGCTACTGAGCTTAAGGAAACCCTGCTATGCATCAACGTGAGATATACGGATCTTAAATAATTTATTTCTGATGAACAAATGCAATAAATGCCTATTGTTATCATAAAAACGCGAAATATTATTGAAACTTAAAATTTTTACTTTGAAGTAGATTTTTTTTTTATATATTATAATATAATAAACATAATATATATATATATATATATTATGTTTATTATATTACGTAATACAACCTGTCCATTTACGAGATGAGATGACGAGATGTATATTCCACAAAGTGGAACCAGCTGTCCACTGAAGTATTTCCGAACCAATTCGACTTAGGGTCCTTCGAGAAAAGAGCGTAGGTACCAATTCTTAAAAGGCAACGCGAGCCCTCTGTCATTGAGAGTGTCTATGGGTTGTATCACTCAACATCAGGTGAGCCTCCTGCCCATTTGCCCCGTCATATAAAAAATATTTTATATTGTAGTCATTCTGGTTAGTTAATATATTTTAATGTAAAGAGTTTTAAACAAAGAATTAAATATTTCCAATAGTTAGCTAAAAAGGGCCAGCATGCCCTTCGAGACAATCAACTCAAGAGTGGAACGAAGAAGTCGATAGTTGAATATGAGCATCTAGAAAGTATCTTGAGAGACGAACGCGCCCAACAAGCTGAACTGGACTGCCTTAACTACTTGGCGCAGAAACAGTTGGTTGAGCTTCTGAAGAAAGTGCCTACGGAGGCTGATGTTAGTAGCTTAGACTTGTATGACTTATTATTCCTCTTTGGTTCAGTTATCACGCCTTTTATGAAGAGGTAGGCAGAGACTACGGACCTCCACTTGCTACGGTCCTGCTATACCTCTCTCGCTTCAACCTCTTTCATGACATTCTGGGTATGGGTACTTTAACGTGTCCCTTCCCAGTACCTCCTAGATTTGGTCCAGGTCTGTACGACAAGACCTACGCAACCCGATCTTGCCATCCAAGTATTATGTAAGCAGATTTACTGCAATCCTCCCCCCCTCCCCTTTCCTCTTTTCAGCAAAAGTAAGCAAAGCTTTCAAAAATAATAGTACATAAACGTATTAATTATTTGTAGGAATCCTCGAAAATGCATTTCGGTTTCAAGCATAGACAATGTGTAGGTAATATGTGTAAAGTGAATAATTACTGTTGACGTAATCACCAAATAAGAAATCAAAGACCCCCTTCCCCCTATAGTGCTTACATAATACGCCTATATTTTTATAATGTTTATTTCGCGGATTAAATTAAGAGTTTGAATGGACATTACTTTTCAAGCTTTTGTTTCTAAAGTTTTATTTCGAATTACTGAATATTTGCGACGTTTTAAAGAACTTAGACGGTTTTTGCTAGTGCCCGGTTTTTAGAGAAACCTGGAATCACTGCGATGAAGTACCTTTAATCGCACTAATAAAGTTATTGCGACCTTAGCCACTGAGCCTCTAGCGGCTGGCCAGTCAGTAATTCAAGGATCCTTTCGGTCGGAGGATCACCACATCCTTCCTCCACAAATTGTCGAAGAAAGACCCCAAACATTTTTGAATTTTTAATAGGAGAGCAGTGTTCAGCATGCGACTCTCATCCCTGAGGTCGTAGTTTCGATTCCCGGCTGTGCATCAATGGACCTTCTATGAGCGCATTTAACATTCGCTCGAACGGTGAAGGAAAACATCGTAAGGAACCCGACCCAAAAAGTCACTTACTTGTGTATTAGATTGATAAATGATCATGAAACAGACAGAAATATGAATGCAGACCTAAAAAGGTAGCGCCACTGATTTATTTAATTTTTTAATAGGAACTAGCAATGATAGAAAATGCAAATAATCGTTTACGGCGTATGGAGAACCGACTGGATTTAGCCACGAAACGGTTCTGCCTCGTCAATACTGACAACAAGAGAGTGAGGGAGGAAATTGACAGGCTTCTTGTAGAACGGTGACTATTTTCTTCTTAATACTTTTGATTGTATTTACAATTAATAGATTCGGCTTGTATAAGCAATTAAGTAGCATACTGATGCATAATATCAAACTCAAAATAACTTTAATCATATAGGTAACCAAGTACATTTTTTAACGATGTTAAATTGATTCTAAATTTAGATTTACTACCAGTTAGCAAATCAAGGGCCTAGAGGGGGCAAGGAGAACTGGCAAGAAACTTTCCGCCACTGTTTTTAATCGCTAAGTTTTGAGTCATACAAATTGTTTGAACTGGAGCAAATCAATCCCAAGGACTAGGATCATTTAAATAAGCGTCTAAAGTATGAAAAGCTTTATTGATTAATTTACGTTTAACGACAGTTTTGAATTTATTCAGTGATAATTCCTTAATTTCTTTTTAACTTAACTTAACTTCTTACATATGCATAGTTTCATACAGTTGGCATCATGAAAATGTTCACTGACACATATTACAAAACCAAGCTGCTTATAGGCTTATAGGCTTTGTCAACCATTGTGTTTAGTAAATATCCACCTCAATAAAACCCAAACAACAAACCATCAAAAAAAAGAAACGCGAATAGTTTCTAGATTTATCTAATATATAAATTTCACATGTCACAATGTTCGTTCCCATTCGCCTCCGAAACGGCTCGACCGATTCGTATGAATTGTTTTATGCATATTCAGTAAGTCTGAGAATTGGCTACTATCTATCTTTTAAACCCCTAAATGTTAAGTTTGGTCCACCACTAAATTTATATTTTTAGATAACATTTTTTTTTTTTTTTATGATATAAGTAGCATACAAAAATACTACACAACATGCTACAACCCCCATGTTTTTATTTGTTAATTAAAATCTTATGACTTGAACTATGAGGTATTATATAGAGAAAAATTCACAGAAAAACCTAAAAAGTTTTCATTCAAGAAAACCGAACAGTCTCTAGGGTAGCATAGCAAAATGTTCCATGTTGGTATGTACTAAAAAGGTAGGCTACGTAAAATCACATTAAGGAGCAACGAAGTTCGCGGGGGCAGCTAATAAATACATATATAAATTGGAAAATATCTTCATTTTAGAAATGACTTTAATATCCTGTGGAATCATACAATCGGCAAACTTGTAAAGGGCAAGGAGTACCTCATGGATATTCTTGAAATCGCTACCAATGCCTTCGGAGATAGAGATGAGTGTTGCAGGAAGGTCGACGCTCTGAAGTGGAAGGGACTCTTTCAACTGAACAGGGATATATCGGTGAGTTCATTAATATCAAAAGTCAAAATCGTTAACTCATATAGGATACACAATGTACACTTGTGAACCTCAAAAAAAAATTAAATGCTTCTAATTTTACATTTACTGCCAGTTGTCAAATCAAAGGCGTAGAACGGAAGAGAAGAACTGGCAATAAACTCTCGGCCACTCTTTTTAATCACCAAGTTTTTTGTTTTACGCAATGTTTGTGAGGAGCTGCAACCATTACACCATGTTCCACGTGACTTCTTAAGCAATAAATAATAATAAAATAAATTAAAAACAAAGATTTGTCCTCCATCAGCAGGAGGCACGGTGATATAGGAGCACGCACTTACATTCTCGTGGGAACAACACGCAAATACATAGTCGAAACAACTAACATCACCGCATACACGAATTCAAGTACGACCAGTTACCACAAGTAGCACCCATTTACGAGTATGACATATGGCCAGCCATCGGCCCCCTCGCCATATTTTAGGGAGAGAGACAACCCGACGCATATCTAATCTTAATAAATGTTGTCCTGATCTGATAAAGATAATCATTCGCAGGAAATGCAATCGTATGAAGGCGAACTGAACCATTTAGCGAAACTGGAGGAGTTTTTAAGAGTAAAAGGATCTAGGAGGATCTGTGAAGCTGATGAGATAGAGGAAATCAAAAGACAGGAGGAAGTTCAGAGATGTGAACAGGAGATTGCACGCCACGACTCTTTGCTAGAAGGGATTTTTGTTAGTATCATTTTCATTTTTTTTCTGTACTTATTTAGTTTTGTATTTCCTAACTAATATTTTTTCTGGTTCGTTGGGTCTTCAGGCTTTCCTACCGTTACACAGTTTTCTAAACCAGGACGGAGGATGGACCGTCACCTTGTACTGTTATCACAGTAAAGATTCTCATTATGATTTAATATTTATGACATAAATGTAGCTTCGTTTAATAGAACTTGTCTTTGAACACAATTGTCCAATACATACACTTTTCCATTATAGGTAGTCACATTTGAGACGGTTCGATTCCCAGACAAGACAAGTAATTTGTAGAAAATCATTGACTGCAGTAATACTTACTTTTAAAAATAAAATAGTCTTTCACCAAAATAACCTATCTACGATATTTAATGTACTTTCCCTTGATGTCACATAGTCTTGGGACGTCCTGTTTATTGTCTAAGTGTTTTGTTTTATAATAAGTATCTTAGCTGTAAGATTACTAATATATAAATAACTAACTAAGCATGTAATAAAACACCTAAATACCCGTTGCTTTCTATGAAAACAGTCGCTAGATAACAATTACTATAGAAGTATTCGTTGCATTTATAATATTCTAAATTTGACCGCAGTAGTGTCATTATCAACGTGAAATGATCCACACATCATTTCTGAATGGCTTTAGTGTTATTTTATACTCTCTTGGTTTCAAATCTCAAAGTGCACTCACTTATTTGACCAACTTTTTAAGTCCAAGTAAGACATCATTACCAATAGAGGTAACCACAAAATAAATCTATTAGGAAATAATGTTTGTAGTAAAACATGATTATTTCATGGATTCATAATACGTGGTTTTATTGGATTAACGTGTACTTTAAACGATTAATGCATCTCGCATGACAAGGAAATGAAACTATACCAAGGTGAAGGTTCATAATAGTTGAAACTTTACAAGAAACACTAGTTTTATTTTATATTTTGATATATACAAGTGAATCAGGTGTAGAAATATTTAAAATGTATTTTTATTCTAGCAATACGCGGGGTCTGAAAGGGTAGGCGCAGTAATAAGCCACTTCCAGGCGGCGGAAATTCAAAACTTTTCCATATTTGTACTGCTGTGTGAAGTGCTTCAAGAGTCTATTTTTATGAGGAAAGAGTTAGAAATATTGAGGCAACGTATTTGTAAGTCTTTCTTCTCTATGGTAAAAGAAAACCTTACTTGTTCCTTTCTCTATCAGCAATCCATCAAAATATAATAAATGCATCCATCAAACTGTGTACTAAAATAGGTACATGTAAAAATAATACGTTTTATTAAAGTGGATCAACGTGACATGAACGAGGCTCGAGAGGAGAAGGAAGATAAACGGCTTGCGGAGCTAAAACTTCAGTTAGAGAAGAAAAGAGAACGTACCGCCGCTATATTGGACGCAAACAACAACACTGAGGCCACTATTTTGAAAGTTTTGAAAGGCATCGACGATCTTGTCAGGTCTTATACTTGTAATTTTGAAACTTAAAGTATAATTTCCAGATTAAATTAATACTACACCTGCACAGGTGAGTTTCACACTATTTCTCTTCTCTGAATCTGACAGTAAGAGTCGGAATCTCACTCTAGAACTCGCGTCTGAGTCCAGGGTGGATTATAAAATTTTATGAAAAATGATAATAGGAAGCTTCTATTCTGAAATGACGAAACAATAGCGTGTATTTGATTGTGATGAAAGAGAAAGACGGATTTTATATCTATGATTGTACTAGCGGTTAATCATAATTACAATCAGTGGCGTGACTTTACCATCTTGGGCCCGTGGCAAATTCTTTTCACGGGGCCCTATCAGTAAAAATCCTCACGTTGTACTCAGTTTAATTTTAATAAACTTCGAGATTTTCAGCGTACTCAATTACACGTTGTACACTCGGCGTCAAAAAAATCGCACCTTTCTTAAAATTCGTGGCAAGCGATTATAACTTCTAAGATCCTTCCTGTACCCTATCATTATTAGTATCATTTAAAAGCTCAATTAATAAGCTTTCAAAAAAATAATCATTTGTTTACGGAAAATCAAAAACCACAAATCGCCAGCACTTTGATTAAAAAGTGGCGATGTACGCGTTTGGAGGCTCACTAATTGTACCACCCTGGACGCGTATAAAACGAGGGGGTAAAAGTCAATTATGGGTTATTCGCTATCCAGACGTCACAGAGGTCACACCTGAAGAGCTTCGACAAGAAAAAACCCAGTGAAAATGGATACCATGGCAAAGAAGCAGCTCAAGTGGTGGCCCTACTGCAAATCGGACTACGGCAGGTTGAAGTTGCTAGGCAACTGAAAATCAGACGATTTCGAGTGCAACGGGTATACCAACGGTTCCAAGAGACTGGAAGTTACATCAGGAGACGTGGATCCGGGAGACGTCGCTGCACTACCAACAGAGGTGATCGCTCCATTGTGTCGACGTCTTTGCGGAACCGCTTCTCCAACGCTGTGGAGCTGCAGCAGCGGCTTTGAGCTACTCGAAGGACTGCTGACAGCGTCTCCACTATCAAAAGAAGGCTGTGAGAGAAGAATTTGCTGCCCTGGAGAGCTGCTACAGGCCCCCAATTCACTGCCATCCACCGGACGAAAAGGAAGCGATTTTACGAAACGCACGTGCCGTGGACATTCGACCAGTGGAGGAATGTCCTGTTCTCCGACGAAACCCAAGTGTGCCTGTACTACAACAACATGCGTAAGAGAGTCTACAGGCGACCAGGGGAGCGTTTCACACCAGCCTGCACCGTGGAAACCGTCGGGTATGAAGGAGGATCCTGCATGTTCTAGGGCGGCATTTCTATCGACGGCAAGACAGATCTCGTGTGCGTCTCCAGAGCTGGAGATGGTCGCGGCCAGGGGTCTCTGAATGCCCACCGGTATATCACCGAGATTTTGGAGGAGCATGTGGTCCCATGTGCAGGTTTTGTCGGCGCTAACTTCGAGTTCATGCACGACTACGCCCTGTGCCACACAGCCTTGATTGTCACGGACTACCTACGTCGAGTTGGCATCAAGGTTATGGACTGGCCAGCAAGAAGCCCCGACCTCAATCCTATCGAGCACCTCTGGGGCGAGCTGAAACGGCGAGTTCGGGCCCGTAATCCAGCTCCTGCCACTCTCGATGAGCTTCGAGATGCCGTCATCGAGGAGTGGGACAACATTCCCCATGAACACGTCGTGACGCTCATCAGGTCCATGACTGACCGCTTGGAAGCTGGTCGTAGGGCTAGAGGAGGCAACACTAGATTTTAAGACTAAGTTTTAAGGATTGTCATTGTTTATTTTTAATTTTTGTATTGTTCCTTTTCTTTGTAATTTTGATCAGAATACACATTGTTTCACATTTTCCCAGAATTTTCTTTTTTTATGGTGGTGGTGGCCAATTTCCAACCGTTTTCAAATAAGGGATTTCATTAGCTTTCAAATGATACTAATAATGATAGGGTACAGGAAGGATCTTCGGAGTTATAATCGCTTGACACGAATTTTAGGAAAGGTGCGATTTTTTTGACGCCGAGTGTATATGTCCCATTAATGGAATGGTCTGTAGTCCCCACGCTCGCAGAGGCCCTCTTGGGTCGGGGGCCCGTGGAAATTTGCCAGCCCTATTGTTACGCCACTGTTTACAATAAGGCTTTTGACAATAACAATGAAATGAGATATCGTTTCCTCTTTTGTTTTATAATTTACATACCTACCCAACCCGAGAGGTATTTCTAATTTATTTGTTCCAACGCTTAAAGGTTGGCAAAATGTGACGTCACACCGCTTCTCTCTTTGCTCGGAAACCATAAGGAAGTAACCAAGTGGAACGTTCGTAAGTTCCTTAGGATTTTGGAGTCTGAAGTGAAGAGTCTAATCGAAGTCGCTTATGGAGCGGTTAAGGTTTGTTAAATATGCCTTATTGTAAATGTACAACACACAATGTACCACTGTCTTACCCTTCACCAATATACCTTGTTTAAGCATCCGCTTCGAATTGCGAGGGAGTGATGCCGGCTAAACACACCCTCGCAACCTTTATGGCAATTGCTCTCTGCGACTGCCTGAGTATGGTTTTTGTGTCGGTTTAGCATAACCGCCCATATCGGTCAACCGTTTAATACTTTTGCCCCCGCTACGTTGGTGTATGGTGCGCGAAAACCCCCACCCGGAGATTTGGCATTATACTCGTACGTGAGAGCATACCTGCCGTGGTAGTAAGTTTGGGGGCAAGTGTCGCGAAGTGCGCCTTGAATGTCCACCGCGGATCTAAGAACTGCCAAAGATATTTGAGCGAGGTGCCGAGCAAGATGGATACTCTTGACGGATGATGGATTCCGATTTAATGGCCTACAGTATATTAAATTTTTTATGAAATGAGATTATAGTTCGATAAGATAAATAGTATTTTCCATTATAATTGTAAATATTTTCTTACTAGCCGCCCGCACCAACTCCCAAAGCCCGCAAGGGTCCACCACAACCAGCTACCAAGTTGGTAGCAGATCCATACGTGGAGACATTAATACCAAACAGAATTGAAAAACTCGTTCCTTACCAGCCTTGTGCATAGTACGTATTTTGTCTATTTACATTAAATTTAGTTTTTATATGTCAGTACTTAGGTGGGTCTTGGCCTCAGATTGCATCCGCTTCTTTGATAATATTTATTCCATAGACAAGTAGGTGATCAAGCTTCTGTCTGACTTATGTCGTCGATTTCTGGATTTGAGACATGTCGGTTTCCTCACGTTTTCTTCGTTCCTCAAGTCATGGACTCTGTGGTGCACAGCTGAAGATGGAACCTAAGACCAGGGATGAGAGTCACAAGCTGTAGCCAATAAGTAGGCCAACGCAAATATTACATTTTAATTTTAGGGCTTAACATTGTTGTTTACTACTTATAATTAAACTCTGACACTACTAATATTTATGCTAAAACTCTGCGAAATATAAGATATCTCGTTCGCAGTTGTGTCGAAGACTACATTATGAACCTCGTCTTTGAGACACCAGCAGTTCCAGCTGACAAAGAATATGTTGAAGGCATATTCCATCTTGAGGACGAAAACACCAAGTTTGGAATATACACCTTGACTATTCCCGCGTAAGTAAATTTATCAGTTTTCTTTACCAATCACCGTTAATTTGTTACTAATTAGTTTTTGTATTCCTTTTGGGAAAATTATTACTACACCTTTAACTTTTACAGTAAACGCCATCCGTACCGAGGACCAAAGAAGGATTAGTGATATTTTTTAAATATTTTGTCGAAATGTTTTATGATATTAAATATCTGTAAAAACAATTTTGTTTTCATTCGATCATGCTCCCAAAAATCATCTTTCACACTTTAATACGCAGGTCATTTTCCTCTAGATTCTATTAAAAAGCGGTAAAATTTAAATATTTACTGTAGCCCCGTTTGAAAGGATAGCCTGTGCCAAGTTTGAAGTAACTTTAAAAGTGCCATTGTCGTGTGTCAAGTGTCAACTGTCAATTTCTATTCAAATAGTTTCTTGTTTGTTGAGTGATGTCTCCGGGTCCGCCATTAAATTTCGTATAGCCGAGGACTGAAAAAGGTTGTGCCTTTTAAATCGGCGAAAATCTAAACGATCTTTAACTTTTAATTAATAATATTTAGTCATATTTCGTGCACAAAAATTAAATCCAATGGCAGACAGAGATACAGATGAGTTAAACATTGATAATGTAATAAAAAAATTGCTAAAAGGTAAATTAATGTTTTATTTATATTTATTGTAAACGTATATTTTCGTTTGTTATTAAATTATATTTTTGTTTTGATTTAGTGAAGTGGTTTGTGCCAGTGTTTTTATTTCGTGATTCATTGTTTCAGTCCGAGGCGAAAAGCCTGGGATGAATGTACAGTTAACGGAGGTGGAAATAAAAGGGCTATGTTTGAAGTCCCGAGAAATTTTCCTTTCACAGCCGATATTACTTGAATTGGAGGCTCCTCTTAAGATATGCGGTAAGCAATAACAACATTGAATCGATGCCATTTCCTTTGTTTTACATCGTATGATTACGCGAGCTTACTTTCAAAATTATTGCCACATCGATTTCTATTACCTCCTATCAACAACTATTGTTAATTGTATTTGTAAATTGTTTCAAATCACTGTTTTATATTCAGTTTACCTATGTAAGGGCAAGTTATTACCGTTTTCACAGTGAAGTGTTAATTTCATTTCAGATTAATAACATGTCTGTTTTCAGTGAAGACTGCCTTGTGATATTGTTTATATATATATATATCTACATGAGAACAATTTAAGTGATATTACCTTAAATATCACTTAAATTGTTCTCATGTATATAATTGTTATTATTGCTCCTGAGCCAAACAATGTTTTTCCGAATCAAAAACCTTTATTTAAACAACATTTATTCATGTAAATACTCTTTCAGGTGATATACATGGACAATACTATGATCTCTTAAGATTATTTGAATATGGAGGATTTCCTCCTGAATCAAATTACCTCTTCCTTGGTGACTATGTTGACCGTGGAAAGCAGTCTCTTGAGACCATATGCCTCCTGCTTGCATATAAGATTAAGTATCCGGAAAACTTCTTCTTGTTAAGAGGAAATCATGAGTGTGCCAGTATCAATAGGATTTATGGGTAAGTGTTAAATTAACTTGAATAATTTGCATTGGTTATGTTTTTTCAAAAATTAATAAACATGATGAAACTATTTTTACTCCTTTGAAACTGTTTTATGATTATACATCATACAAACAGCAAGGTAAATAATAGTACATCTTTTATTTTTATCATTTTATGAATGTTTCATGATAAACTTTAAAATGATTGACCTATGCTTGATTATATCACATTTTTATATTATTTCCTTAAAATCTTAATTTATCTTACCTTCTCTGCTACTAATAGCATACATTTTATGTGGTATTATAATAATACTTTCATTCTAAAACAATACTTAGCATTTTCTTAAACAACAAGATTATATATCGTTGGTAGTTAGGTGTTCCCTTTATATCATGCCAATAATATCAATGAGTCACACCGGTGATTCACTTAAAGGCCAAATGAATTGGTTTTTCAAAGTGAAAGAATTATAGGAATGTTTAGGTTACCTGTTTAAAGACAAGTCTTGTCCATAAAATATGACAAGATCCAGATACATTTCTGTGTCTGTTTCTTTGATATTTTTCTATCTGTTTGTATAACAGCACATCAAATAAAACAAGCAATGTCACTTGTCTGCTCAATGTAATACATTAGTACATAGTATTACATTGAGCAGTGTTAGCCAAGTGGCTTCAGCGTGCGACTCTCATACCTGACATCTGGCTGTGCACCAATGGACTTTCTTTCTATGTGCGCATTTAACATTTGATCGAACGGAGAAGGAAAACATCGTGAGGAAACCGACATGTCTTGGACCCATAAAGTCGACGGCGTGTGTCAGGCACTGGAAGCTGATCATCTACTTGCCTATTAGATTTAAAAATGATCATGAAACAGATCCAGAAATCTGAGGTCAAGACCTAAAGAGGTTGTTGCGCCACTGATTTTTATTTTATGAGGAAATGAAATGTAGAAATAAATACTTTGTTCTTAAACTAATAATTAGTATAGGATGAAGCATCTGTAGTATCAATATAGTAATTACATTTATTATGTACATATGTAACAATTAAATGTACTTTTATGTGCTGTTTAATGCACTGAACATTTCGTAATGAAAATAACTTGTAATCAAAATTTTAAATTAATATAATCAATATTATGTTTATTTTATATGATGTCATGTGTTTGTTTGATGATAAGATTATAAGAGCAAGGACATTCCATGATCTAGACATTCATTATCTTGTCAATGATTTTATTAAACTTTTTATGAGTGACCACTTCAAACAATGAAGTAAAGAAATCCTGAAATTGCTGTATTTCAACTACTAACATTAATAATTATATATTTATATTTAAAGCTGTGCTCAAAAAAATGTTTGTCTAAGTTAATCCTGCCAACTCATGATTGTTTATTTGTCACATTCTTTATCAGATAAGGTGGTAATACATGCAATTACTATTGTAATAAATGCGCAATATGATTTAAACAAAGTTCAAATCGTTTTTTTTGCAGTTCTTTTAGTAATGGATATCTTGAAACACTTTTATCATGTAGATTTAAAACTTTACCCTTAGTTTTCCTTACTAGGATTGCTTAGAACTGATTGCTTGTTAGCAATGAGGCTGCCCGTTGCCTCTTTAGTAATTTATGTTAACTGATATGTATTATTCATGTGTTCAAATACATTTCTTATATCTTTTTTCATTCTGCATACAATCAGTAGTATTTCTAAGCAGCTGTAAGCCGTAGATCTGATTAAATAACTAATAATAAATGATATTGAACAGGTTTTACGATGAATGCAAACGGAGGTACAACATTAAGCTATGGAAGACGTTCACAGACTGCTTCAACTGTTTACCTGTTGCGGCGATAGGTAAGTGCCTATTGTTTAACGAATTTTGTCGACAATGCAACATATAGGCCTCTATTATACTGTTTAAATCTTTCTATGGGGCATGGGTATGTACAAAAAACCGAGGCCTAAAAAAATACGTAACGCTGTATGGGTTGATATCAGTTGGGAAATTCTCTTTTATACATCTTAATTAATAAATTATCAACGAAACATGTCGACGTGTCTACCCATAATTTAGGAGATTCATATTTTCGCACAAAATATAAATAGTAGTTTGCTATTTCTGGCAGCTTAAAATATTAACAATAGCCTATTAAATTAATCCGCTGTCTGAGCGTGAACCGTGCTCATCTGATTATATGATTATCTAGGGCATTTGCCACCGTTGAAAACTGCATCTAATTTTATACTCCCCTTATATACTTTTTATTTTAACACATGCTTAAATGTCCTTATGTACTTTTCCTTAATTATTTTAAGTACATACAGCAAACGTAACTAACACCAAGGGGTTATTGTGTGCCTTAAGTAGTAAACAGCATTGATGATTTCGTCAGCGTATAAAACTGTCGAAACTATTACGCTTCATGTAGATACATATACGAAAGATTCGTTATCTAAAACTATCACGTGAATATGACAAATATTAGTTGTATATATAAAGCAAATATGTGGTCATTGACTTCTACATTTCAATTGGCAAAATACTAAGTAGAGAAATTGCAATAAACACGCATATTTGTATCGCTGTATTACATCCTTGATTAAACTTATTGTAATACTAGCTGACCCGGCAAACGTTGTTTTGCCATGTACATATATTATTTCTAGGAAACATTTTTTAGTTCAATAAAAATAACTTTATACTATAATAAACAATAGAGGTTGATCGTAGAGGGGTGAAAATTAAGGGTTGTATGTAATTTTTAATACCACATAATAATAAAAGTTTTTTTTGGGGTGGACACCCCCCTTATTACTTAGGAGTTTGAAATGTGAATAGTAGCCGATTCTCAGACATGCTGAGTATGCATAAAAAAATTCATAAGAATCGGTCGTGCCGTTTCGGAGGGGTATGGGAACAAACATTGTGACACGAGAATTTTATATATTAGATGCATCGATTTCTAGTTTAATCAGCTATTTATGTATCGAATAAAAGTTTTCAAATAAACATAATAGATGTGATCGTCGAATGTTTTGTCGTTAGTTTTTGTCAGGGTGATAAGGTTCAAACATCTAGTCTAGAAGTCTATAAAAGCTGATTAGTGAACGGCCACGTGGTCTTTTGCCTTGTGTGTTACCACACATGATCAGTTTCTCCAAGTTCACATCGCCCCTGCACGTATGGCCGAAATAGACAATATCAAACACGTTTACGCACACATGAAAAGGTCGATATTTGATATATGATCTACACACAAGTATCGTAGTTTTACGATGCGAAATTTGGTAGCTAAGGTCAACGTAAAGAAGTCCTTGTCCCGTCCTTGATATGAATTAGGTCGAGTCCCGGCGATTATCGACCCTGCTTCAAGGACATGAGATGACAGGCATTTGTAATCGAGATATTTTACACACATGATAAGGTTTATAGTATGAGCTTTGCAACTAATGTTTAATGATTGTATTTTATGTATATTAATTTACATGATCGCTTTAATATATAGTTAAGATTATTAAACATATGTGTTGTTTGGTTTAGTTTCATATAGGTAGTATCAATATAGGAAATTGTTTTACCTAAAGCGGGACATAGACGGACCGCATGTTGCAGTCAAGACCGACTGCAATGTGCGGTTTGCTCAGGAACTGCTCGAGCGGTCCGTGTATTGCGGATATGAATTTAGTATGGAAACTGCAGATCGCCGTGCGGCGACCGCATATTGCAGTCGGTCTTGACTGCAACGTGCGGCGACCGCATATTGCAGTCGGTCTTGACTGCAACATGCGGTCCGTCCCGCTTAACATGTACTCGGTTTTCGATTAATCTTTATGAGCGTTAAATATTAATTGTATGAAAAACCCAACCCTTTATTTGCTAAAACACGTCTTAATAAGCACTACATTTGCACTTCGATTCTAATGTAATCCATCATGTACAAATTAAAAACATGTGTGTGTACTTATGTACACGCGTTAGAAGTTATACTTCTTTGGCGTAACCAGAAAAAAAATTTTTTTTTAAATTTTATCTTTCGCAGAATACGTTTGTAGAAAAAAACTACACTAACAATAGAAAAAAGGTATTTAATACATTGAAAGTTTTATTATAACGCATTATCTAAATAATTTAAGTTTATTTAAATATCACAAAAAAATATTTCTACACAATTAAAGAAATGGATTTTTTTTATTTTAAAGTGTTGACTATGCTAACTTCAGGGTGTCGGTTTTTTGTGACGGTGTGCGCGCGCATCGTACAAATTTAGAGCGCCAAAAGAAGTATAACTTCAAAAAGTACCAATAAAAATCGAAGTTACGGAAACTTAACAAAGCAAAATGAACTAGAGTTTTATAGAAGATATCTTTAAAAAAAATCATGATACCATTTGTCTAACTATTACATATTTAATAAAATAATTCGTCAGTACGAAGCCGAAAGCTGAAAAGCACACGAAAAGGTCGTTAATAATTAAATGTGTAAAACCCAACCAAAGGTGAAATCACAGATCTTTCTCATTTTACCTCGTACAAACGAGTGAGCATATATCTGTCTCATTTTAGAACATTGTTAAATTGTTGTAACTACTCATGTGTATACATGTTTAGTACTAGGTTATGTAATCAATCCAATGTTTTGAAAATTTTGCATACATATTAATTGCGCCCTTGGTCAAAGCAGTAAACATGTGATATGGTGCTCCTATTTCACCATGCCTACTGCTGATAGAGGATAAATCTTTGTTTTTAATTTTTTCACGTCGTGTGGAACTTGGTGTAATGGTTGCTTAGCTCCTTAAACATTGTGTAAAACAAAAGAGTGGCGGAGAGTTTATTGCCAGTTCTTGTCGTCCGTTCTACTTCCTTGATTTGAGAACTGGCAGTAAATGTAAAATTAGAAGCATTTAATATGTATTTTTTAATTGACGTTCATAAGTGTACATTGTGTTACATAAATGAATAAATGATTTTAAACTTTTTAATTTTAAACTTCTAGTCCTAATAATTTGCTAACGTATAACATACATAATATCGGCTAACTAATTAGATTCTGATAAGTAAAACAATTATGGGTAGTGATTTGAAGGCGGTAACTCAGGGTTTAGAGTTGCCAACACAGATCTTAATCGTACAACATAGATACCATCTAAAAACTACATGATAGTACGGGGCTACTCTATTTTATATAGTCTGAAGGGTGTAATGGATTTAGCGATACCCGCAACAAAACTTGATAGAATCAAAACAGAAGACGAAGGGTTGGCATTTCGTTTGATGGTGATTGGCGTATGTGTTTGAACTAATGTTCTTTAAAGTAATGTTAGAGAAGCTTAGCTATTTCACCATTACCAGCGGTTTACAGCATCCATAGGCATCATCAGGTGATAGAACTACAAAAAATTGTATACAGAATTGAAATTTAAGTTAAGGAAGTGGGCAAACGATAACGATAAATAACAAAATCACGTAAAAGCTTAATTATAAGACTGTCATTAGTACTTACGCTCAAACAGATTGACGTCATCATTTTTAATCTAATCTGATAAGAGATAAGAGAAGTAGGTCTACTTATACGAATTCCGGAAACGAAACTCGCAATTTGACTTCGGAAACAATAAATTTTAACCTTCCTTAAATCCAAAACTAATATTGTACTATGATTAGGTTATCGTGTTTTGCGCTGAGGAAATTATGCCTCATGCAATTTCCGTCTTTGAGATTGTCTACCGTTTTAGTACTTTTACTGTGTCAGGTCCTAAATGGATGAAATTATTTTTTGTAGTCACTTTTCACTACATATGACTTTTTAGTCATATTAAAATCCTATACAGTAATCCGTCTCCGTAGCATTGTAGTTAATGCACATGCCATATAATGTAAATCTCTTGGGTTCTATATACGGCAGGGTCGACAAAAAAAGTTGGTAGAAAATAGAGACCATCCTCTTTGTCTGCCCGTCGTACTAAGTAAACAAACATTACTGTAAATTCTTACATAAGTGTTACTTACAATTCATGAAAAAATAGGAAATAGAAAATAGTTCAATACAATTTTTATAACTAACTAGCTGATCCCTGCCACGCTTCGCTGTGGCACATTGTGATTGAATTGTTGAAAAATGTGAAACAAAACATAGAAAACATTTCATATAAGTTTAATTTTGCAATACTTGTGGGAAAAATGAAATAGATAAAAACAATCTTTGATGCTGATTGTATATCATGCTAAAATTTCAGCTCGATCGGTGCAGAACTTTTTAAGTTTTTGAAGCATACACAAACCAACATAACAGTTTTATATATATGTACTAGCGGACCCCACAGACGTTGTCCTGCATCATATTTCAAGCGATTAGGATATTAAAAAAAGTATGAAAGTAACGACTGCAGCGCCATCTGCCGGGTTGATTTATGAATCTAAACCATCCAGAGCGTCACCCAAACGCATACAAAAACATCATTCAAATCGGTCCAGCCGTTTAAGAGGAGTTCAGTGACATACACACATACAGTAGAATTATATATATATATATATATGTAAGCTATCCTATCTTTTAAGTTAGATCAAACTACACACGGTGGGCAAATTTGATTGAAATCGGTTAAGTAGTTTAGGAGACCATAGCGGACAAACAACGTGACGCGTAATTTATATATAACAAATCAATAGTATGCTTTCACACTATTGATTTGTTCCCACAATTTATAATACAACAAATGTAAATGGTATTGCAAAAGAAATTGTACTTTATCGCTGTAACAATGCTTGGTTCAATACATAAATTCCCACAATTGGTTGACGTGTATCCGCCCGGAACATGAAATCAATGGCTAAATCGATGCTGTCATTGTTGA